AGCATTTTGAATCTATTTTGAATAGTCTCTCATCTGTTGGCTTCTCTTCTGCTCCATTTCCGAGCTCAATGCTTCACGAAATACGACAATGTCTAATTAGCAATTCATAGTGTAGTATAATATAATCAGTTACTTAGTTAGTTAGCTACATATTTGCACATAGCGGTTTAAGATGAATGAGGCTTGTTGATTTTACCTTTTGTGGATTGAAGTTTAAGCATCAGCTCATATTTCAATTAAACTTTTAAGTTTTCCCATCATCACTTGTATTTATCATTATTTAATCGGTTTGATATTATTTTTCTCTCATGAATACATTCTTTTTCGTACAATAAACTGTTTGATTTATAGGTGTCGAGGAAGATACAACTTCATATACTTCATATAAATCAATTAATTCAAAAGATATGTCAAGTGAAAAATCTGTTGAAAGTATATCAGATACGAAAAGTATGAATACAGCAATTTCTGAAAGTATACAGGACGATGAACGAGCAATGACTCCTATGGAAGGCGATTTGGTTTGTATCATTTCGTTGAAAACAGGAAAAAGCTGAAAATGATGGCGAGAGAAACTGTTTGATAGATTTTCTTTTCTTTTTTTTTTGTTTTTATCATTAATGATATCTAAATGAGAATATTAGTGAGATGTTGTCAACAAATTATCAGCGATTTGATCAAGAAAGTTAAAGTAATAGCATAAATGAAACTGATTCTTGATATATTTGATCAGGAATTGAAATTTTCCTGATTTCCAGTAATTCTGATATGCAAGATTAACGTTGAAATAGTGCAAGAAATATGCAAAATTGCTGCTAGAAACTGTTTCGAATACTAAATTGTAATGTGACAATGCAAAGAAGAAGGTAAGATGAAAAGTCTTATTAAGGTATGAAATAGTATTGGATTTAAAATGATTTGAGATTTTTATTAAATAAATTAATTTATTTTGCGCAGAATTTCGATGCAACAATGATGAAGGCAGAAATAGCACACTTAAGGGAAGAAGTAACTAAATTGAAGGATGAAAGGCAAAAGTGGATGTTAAGAAGGTTGGGAATTCTTGAATTTTCATCGAGAAAGTCACATGAGAATTTATATTTATTTCCTTATGGAAGATTTAGACATCCACACTTTCTTTTTGTCTCATTTCAAATCGACCTTGGTATTATTCGAGAATTGAGAAGACAAAAGTCTGAATTCATAAGAGATAGGAAGGAAACTAATTCTCCAATACAGATGCGCAGAATTTGTTTTTTTTTTAAAGAGAGAAGCGCGAATATTCAGGCGATGAATCGCTGATTGAAATGCTAGAAGAGCGATTAGCTGAGGCGGAAAATTGCATTCAAGATTATCGTGACGAAAATACTGTTCTAAAATGTGAACTTCGAGAATTGCAGGTACTGTTATTTTATAAAATGGTAAGGTAACAAATCTTTTTCTTCTAGTTATTAGTTCCAAATTCAAATTAACAAGTTATGAGATGAGCATCTTGAATTAGAAAGACCATTCCTCCAAAATTTATAGATTGAAAATTCAACCGACGATTTATAATCAATATCGTACTTTGTATTTTAAAAAGAGATGTTAAATAAATTCTTAAAATCATTTCAAAACAGGAATGTGAAGGTTCAAGTGATAGTCGTAGTGAAATGACCGCAAAACTAGCGGACAAATTGAAAGCCTCTGAATCGTTATGCGATGAGTTGATGGAGGAGAATGAGTCGCTGAAAGCGGATATCAAAGATTTACAACAAGAAATCGAAGAAATGCAAGTTAGTGTAGTCATTAACTTCACATTTCCGTTTATTAGTGTTGATGGATTAAGATGAGGAACATTGAAAGACAGAATTGAGAGATAGTGATTTTGTTCTTCACGCGTTGCAAGGAACTGAATCCGCATAGATCTGATGGTAGTTTGGATGAGAAAAATTCATAGCTTAGTTTATGATGGACTTTGTTATCAATTTCTTAGGAATAACCATTTCGCATTCATTTTCGAATCCATTCACTTAATGATTTATTTATATTATCTCACTGGAAAGGTTCTTAACAGGATCAGTACCGTGAGGAAGAAATTGAAGAATTTCGTGAACTCCAACGCGAATTGGAGCAAAATGCCAAAAATTGTCGAATTTTACAATTCAAACTTCGCAAGTCAGAACGTACACGTGATGAGCTCGATGCCGAAAAGCAACATCTTGAAGTTAAGGTGAAGGTAGGTCAACTACTTGACAATTTTGTCATATTATCATCATCAAAACATTTATTCTGAATATCTATAAAATACTTTTTGTTTGTATGCGTTTCTCTGCAATCTCTTTTTTTAAAATTTATTTTAGATTTGAAAAAAATTTCCAAATTTACTTATTAGAACAGTGATAAAGTAAAAGTATAAGTTTGATTACTGGTGTAAGCTAAGATTCAAGTATTACTATAAAAATTAGCTCTTTTAGCAAAGTAGCAGGAAGTCAAAGAGTTCCTGCAGATTAGATTCCAAATATCTTTTTTGAGATGAGGTAGAAAATTGATGAAATCGAAAACTCTCGCTCTACACTGATTTCAAGCTTCAGTGGTAGATTCCTGATCGATTTTTTTACAGGATTTACTAGAGGCCTCGTCTGTAACTGGTGGATTGCAAACAACTGGGAAACAGTTGGACACGATACGCATAAGAGAACTCGAATCAGAGCTAAGAATTGCTAAAGAAGTTTCTGTTAGATTGCATAATGAACTTGAAACTGCAGAAGAGAAACGATATAAATTGGAGGTAAGATAGCAGTAGTAGTAATCAATGCATTGAAGATACTTGATCCTATTACCTTATATCGAGGGTATATGAGCATATTTTTTGAAAATAATCCAGAAATTTTCATTCATACTTTCTCATCCTTCTTTGTCTTCAAAAGTACTTGTTGACTTTTTATAGGACGAAGTCTTTTATATGAAAGATAAAATTAGAGAGTTACAAACGCAAAACAAATGGCGAGAAGCGCGAAATCGGACAGAATTACAATCGGTATCTTTGATTTATTAATACTTTCGGATTTCTCGTTTAACTGACATACATCAATTCAGTATTAAAATCATTATCGTTCTCTATTCTTTGTTCTTTATTATTAGTAATAATTTCAATATTTTCAACATTGCAGAAATAATGCAGTTAACCGCAGAATTTCAGCAAGAATTGGAAGAGAATGTGGAAAAAATCTTAGTTACTCTATTTCTTTTTCTTTTTTTTTGCAGAAAAAAGGTAGCGCAGATCTGTTGAATAACTCTACCAGTTCCAATACCAGTAAAGAAATACAAGATATACTTGAACGTGAAGCGGATTTGAGAGATCAATTAAAATTTGCAGAAGAAGATTTGCGTCGAATGCAACTTAGATTGCAAGTTAGTAAAATTTGCAATGATTTGGTTTTAAACAATTTCAAATTCTAAACTATGAAAATTCAGGATGTTGAAAATGAGAATGAAGAACTGCTGAGAAAATTAACGAGGTTAAAGACAGTAAAGAGACCACCAATGCTACGCTCATTCAGGTAAAATTCCGCTAATTTCATAACCATTATTTAAATACTACCCTGTGGTTTAATTTAGCTTCTCTTTTATATTTATGCAGATCATTTTCAACTTCGTAATATATTTGAGTTTTACTGAAATAGAGTTCAAGTAGTTCAATAAAAACATGGATTTCGGTCAATCAGAGAACTATAACTGAGCTGAATCATCATACAGTTTGCACACCGATAACGGTATGCACGTGTTTAAGAAGGCATAACTGATTTGGAATTGTTGAATTATTTTGACGCTTTTGATTCTGTTGTTGGTCACTGACATTTTATACAAACCCCTCACCTATTCCCTCATTACAATATCAAGTGGTAAGATATCGTTTGCGCCATATCACTTATCACAAGCTCCTTTAAATAATATAAACCATCACATTTGCTTAGTATTTATTTTTCTAGTGCTACTTGTCAAAAATCATAATAACTGATAACAGTATATCATTTTGGCTGAGAAAATTCCCAACTTTGTGTCAGTTTTCGTTTAAAATAATTCTATTCTTATTCACCTTCAGTACTGCTTACAAGCAGTGTGTGCTAGTGATAAGCGATGTGCTGTAAATGATAATAGCTTGTTGGTGTATTATTCAACAGTCTAATATTAAAAGAAGCAAAAAATGGATGAGAAAATGAATAAAGCAAAATGACAATGCAATCACTCTACCTAAAATTTTCAAATGATTAACATTTAATTCTTTTTAAAATCTCAAAGTGTCATTATTATCATTCTATAACTTTCATATCATCTGTATAAGAAGCATAGCATGGTAGGTACTTATTAAACGTACACCTCAGAGTGCAATTTCAGTGAAGGGCATGCACAAATGCAATTGGAACTTGCTGAACATGAAATGGAGCATTTGTCGACCAAAGTAGAACGTCTGGAAAAGAAAAACATTCATCTTTCAAAGAAGTAATAAATTTTCTTCCCGAAAAAAATATCGTTTTTTTCCAATTGCTTGCTGCATGAATGGTACATTTTTCTGTTGTATGACGATTATTACAGTATCCTTATATCCACTTAATATTTTACCATTCTTTTAACTTTTGAATTATAACATTTGCATAGAATATCATAATTTTTTGACTTGCAAGCACTTTATAAATGTTGAAAGTAATAGATCTTCAACCTCTCCCATAATATTTTCTCTAGTTTTATCTTACATTGATCCATCTTCAAAAATTCACTTTTTTCCAATTATTTAATCGCTTTTTTTTACACAAATAATTAATCGTATCTGTAGAATTATGGAAATGGAATTGGATTCAAAAAAAACTTCAGAAAACGGAGAAATTATTGACGGAAAAGTAAGTTTTGGGCTTATCAACGCCTTATAATTTTTGTGTTTTAATCAAACTTCAAAAAACAGCGATAAACTATTAGTCATCAAAACAAAATAGGTTTTGTATAATTGGCATTAATTCTACTTACTTCTAAGTTTTTGACCGTTAAATTCGTTCGAATATGTACATGCTTTTTTGATAAAATAATGTAAAATGATGGCAAAGAATTGTTAAATTCTTGGACCTCCTTTTTTTGAAAATTCTAAATTTTTCAGAAGTAATAAATGCTTTTTCTTTTTTTGAAGGCGAAACAATTCGAAGTACCACCAGAAATGCAACGTGATATTGGCAAGCTGATGACAACAATCAGTGAATTAGAACGTAAAAACCTGGACTTGTCATTGCAACTAAAGCAGCAAAACGAGCTTAATTCATCAGTACCATCAGAAAAATGTTCATTTTTTCTTTCATCTCTTTAAAATATTACAAATATAATTTGATGGTCATTAGATGCATAGTATTCAAATTGCATGAGTTTCAGAAATCTTTCATTTACAAAGGTTTATGGTTTACTGATATGTTCCTCCTTAATGCATCTCTTCATGTGACTCTTTTAATAATAACATTATTTTAGCTCAAGCTGAGTTACGAATAGAAAGGGAGCATAAGAGAATTATCGAAACCGAGTTGATGGAGCTTAAACGGATGATGCTTCAATCAGATAATCAAAAATTGATCTCCATGGCTACAAAGGTCCTCTAGTCTTTAAACATAAATTATGCCACATCTCAGTCTAGCGTAAATTTTGATACTGGCACAAATGCGCTGTTCTTGTAATTGTATTAAAAAAGAAATCCATACAGGTAATGTAAAAGAAATTAGCATTAATAGTTGCCACGATGTTCCATTCAAGCTTCAAGCCAATTAACATTCAAGAGTTAACTTATCTGGATCATACGAGACATAAACCTTTTTTTTGACGAAATTACTTAAAAATTCCTTCCTAATGCTGTAGAACTTCTAATTTCAAGGATTTATTAAGGTTGAATTATTGAACAATCAACTTCTATTGGTGAATGATCGTTGTTCAAATCTTCACCGAAGAATTGTAAAGGAAGGCGGTAATGAAACAGCTTATATGGTAAGCATATAGTGTAAACGAGTGTTTTGAATTGGCACTCTTTTATGCAACAATTTTTTTAGCAACAAAAAGTATTGGAACTTTTTTCTTTGTAGCAGTTCATTTTCTGCTGGTTTATGCCAAGTTTTGAAGCATTTTTCATTCCATTTTACCTTTCTAAGGACTTTATCACACATCGAAGTCTTCGTGTACTCTTTATTTGATAGAATATTCAGCATGTCAGAGACCTTTATATTTTGCAAGTAATACATCTAAATAAATGTATACAATATGCTTTGTTTGCACTTCTCATATCGTCCTATAACTCCTTAAATTCTCAAGAAATTGACATTCTGGAGGGACAGTTATACAGAATTTTTAATTTATTCACCATATTTTATATGCAGTTAGCATGGAAATTCCACTTTATTTTTCAAGGATTCGTTGAAAAATAAATGCGAAGAATTGGAAAGGCAACTGAGTGAAGAGAAAGCCAAAAATGCGATCAATTGCTCGCAGATTGACAGCGCTACCACGGATGAGGTTAAAATGAAATGATAATTAATTATATTTAGCTTCCTTTTAATGGAATCAAAAAGGAATTCCTTAAATTTTAATTGAATAATACTATTTTATACCTTTTGAAAGCTAAGTGAATTTTATAGATTGAACAGTGTTGTGAAGTACTTGCATCTGTGGAAGCACAAACAAACCGAATTTGCAAACAAATCGAAAAAATTGATAGTGCTCAGAAGGTATCTTTCTGTAATTTTTATAAATTCAAGCAATTGTAAAGGATCAACCAGAAGAAACACACTTTATCACTGGAACACTAATAGCACTGAGAATCCTATTGTTCTAACTCCTCGTCCTTCTCTCGTATTCCTTCGATTCTAGATCGCCAATAAAGAAGTCTTTTCTTTTGAAAAATGAAATTAAATTTCCCTACTATTTATTTTACTAAATAATGTTAGTGATACTCATTCAATTATTATTTGAAGAGGAGTTTAACGCAAATGATGAGTAAAAGTAGAATATCCCATTAAGACAAAACATGTATTGTGCTACTCTTCTTCCTTTGAGGATGAACGACGGCGTTCGTTATCTAAGGACAGCAGCGCAACAATCATAGCTGAATTAGCAAGCGTGATGTCCGAATTAAATAACGTTCATCAGCTACTTGAAGCACACAAGGTTTTTAACTTTTTTTTTGTTAATTTAGTATCAGTGAAAACAACTTAGTCACTCATCATGAGGACATTATTCTGTGAAATAACTCTGTGATTGATAATAACTACATTTTGAAATGAATTTTAAATTTAGTTTTTCATGAATGATAGATAAATATTAATATAATTCTTGCAAAGCGCTGGGGTACTTAAAAATTTCACCTAAATATTCATTTAAATGAAATGAAGCTGAAAAAAATAGTGTAATATTACAGTTAATTATTGACTATGGTTCCAAATTATTTTTGTCTAGTCATAATCAAGGTAGTTATTGCTTAATCAATTATAGATTAGTTTTTTCATTTCATTATCTATAATAATTTGACTTAACATCCATAAATTTGTTCTCCGGGTCTCTTCCATATATCAAAGAGATGATGTTTAGAATATAGTTATAATACCAATCAGTGGTTAATTTTAACCACTGAATATTATTTGAAATATTTTTAGGTTAATATAGCAAGCGTCGCTCGAGGTTCTCCAGTGAAAAATATATCAAACGTGAATTCAGAGCCAAAACCGTGTAGCAAATGCAAAGAAAGTGAAACATGCATCTTATCGCAGAAGGATGAAATTATGTTCTACAAGAAGAAAAATAAGGTACCATAGATAAAACAACACTGTTCCTGTTGTTGTACTGAAATTTCATGCTTTTTTCCTACTTAATTGTTTGGATATTATTATTGCTACTTTCATCATTGTTGTTATTTCAGGAACTCACTAATCAAGTGCTGCAGACGGAAGATCGTTGGACTGCTGAAATTGAAAAACAGAGGCAAAGTTATGAAAATGAGGTGAGATTCAAAGGTGAAATCTGATAATATAATTAAATTCACTAAAAATAGAACTAGAACTTGAAATTGGGACAATTTAGTAATATTCATTCCATTTCCATTCTTTTGAAGGTCCGCATTTTACATACAAAGCTAAATGATGCGCAAAAGAATGTGATAGAGCAGGAGCATTTGTTGGAATCACGTACTGTAGCACTGGCAGAGAAGGCTCTTATGATACAGGAACGAGATGAAAAATGTGATAAGTTGAAAAAAGAATTGCTTATTGTGAAAAAAGAAATTCAGGTGAATTTTCAATCCACATTATTTTACCCCTACTTTATCTTTGATGTATTTTTTTCCTTTTTAAGGGAGTCATACTTTCCTTTTATCTATACTTATGTTATTTTAAAGGACATCGAAGCCAACCGTAGATCTGCTAAGGAGTTTGAAATCAAATACAAGAAATTGGAGTCGATGTTCAATTTGGAAAAGGAAAAATTGGCTGAGGAGAGAACGAAATCGAAGTCAGAAGTGACAATGTTGAAGAAGAAATTCGAGGAAACATTAATCGATCTCGGTTAGCACTTTTTTCTGTAGAAAAATGATATATTCGTATTTCGCAATTCAATAACCGTTTAAAATTCCAGCCATTGTAGAATCTTTTGGATATTAAGACTAAAAGGAAACCGGTTTCTAGAGAAGTTACGTAACAATTACGTAAAGAAGGAAAAGGCCTGGCAGGAAAAACGTGATAAGCTCGAGGATGAATTGGCGTGTTTAAGAAAACAGCTTAATAAGGATGCCGCAAATGATAGCACAGAAGGTACTTTTTCTTTGTTCAGACTTTTTTTTTATAAACCAAATCGTATTATCATCGATCAATTACCGAGAGGAAGTAATTTGGTACCAAGTGATTGTTAGGACTCCATTATTTATCTTGTAAACCAATTAGTTTCAAACTTTTCCCAGGTGTTTAAAAATACCTGACAAAGTTATATTTATGCTTCTACCCACAAAAAAAGAAAAAAAAATTTCTACTTCATCCCATGATAGGTACAACGACTGTCTCTGATCTCAGTTCATCTGTTACCGTTAAACATCAGTTAGCGGCAGCACCAGTACTAGCAAACCAGAAAAATGATGATATTGCCGATCTGAAAGATCAACAAATCGCAACTTTGCAAATGAAGGTTTTTGTTCTTTGATTTGTCATTTATTCCTCATAACTTTTCATCCTAGAATTTCAAGGCTTTGTCTTTTTTTTCTTATCTATTTCTTTTTTTTTTCTTATCTATTCGTATTGAAATTGGTACATTTCTCATTTCAAACTACTCTAATGATACTTCTTATGTGTAATACTTCTTGTGGCGAATAACTTCAAAAATTTTCATGGTTAGGTTTATTCTAAATCAATGTATTGTTCAGAACAAAGAGTTGACAAATCAAATCTCAGATGCGAAACGGGTTAATGAAGATTTACGCATGGAGCTTGCCTCTTTACAACAAAAATGGACTAAAGATAAGAATGATTTATTACATAAAGCGAGACAAGAAGAAAAGGTACCATTGGTTTCCGGTACCATTATTGATTCTTGCTGAAATGTGTAGGTTTAAAAATGTGTAGGTCTTTTTCTCATATTCTTAGCAAAAGGAATATGCAGATGTTAGTAGCTGAAACAATTATCGATAATCTCTCGACTCACTATATGGTTCAACTTGTGTCACAACTCATTTAATACTACTTTTTGTTTTACTGAATCACTGAATTACCTGTTACACAAAAGTACTTCGCTATACTCGATCTCATAAAAGATATTTAAAAGATATTTAAAATAACATTGAATATATGCACAATTAGTACTTTCATATTTACTCATTATAACAAAAATATTCTCCAAGTACTCTTGTAGGACAAACACAAAATATTACAGATCCGTAATGTTGAGCTCGATGCATTACAGCAAAAGTTTGCAAGCCGAATGCGAATCATGGAAGATACGAATAAATCGTTGCATTCACAGGTATAATTACCGTGTAATTCACTGGAATCTTTGTTTAATACATTGGTCGGGGAAATTAAGAAGTATATTTTTAGTTGGTGCAAGCTCGACGGGATCGTGATTATCACCGTGAAGCACTGCATAATTTTGAAAGCAAAGTTTCGGAGGAACAATGCCGTGCAGAAAGTGACATAAAACGACATAAAGAATTGGAGCGAAGAAGCGCCGATATGGTATGCTTTTGGGCATTCTGCTCCAATTCTGTGTAAATTTCCTAATTTCGAAAATTTCGAATTTTGATTGGCTCTTCATTTGTGCTACATAAATATAATGATTTTTGGGAAGATATTATCGAATTATAAATATAATTTAAAGATTTGTAAATGCAATTTCGATTTGTAAGTATAAATCAAAAGTCTTTTTTAGGCCAAACAGATAGAAGATTTGAAGGAAGAAGTGACCAAATTGAATGCTGATCTGAAATTGGCAAAAGAGACTCATGAAGCTGATCGTGCTTTATGGGATGTTGAAAAATCTCATATTAAGTCCAGGAGGATGACAGCTTCGGCTAATAATAATATTGCCGATGCACAAAATGTCAAGGTTACTATCTAGTTCAATTAATCTAAGTTAAACATTGGTGGTCGTGTGATATAAGTGCTAAGTGCTAAGTCTAATTAATTGTGGTTCAGCATTGTCTTTCAGCTAAGTGCATCCATACAATCATAGATCATTTACAAGCAAAGATTTGTAAAATTCCACGCAGTGCATTACTGCATGAAATTTTAGTTCTTACGTGTAAATAATCTGTATGTAGTGGTATCAAAAACTAAAATTTGCTTCAGATGGTCAAACAGAAGTAAATTCTTGTCAAATAGAAGGAAATAGAACTCCACTTTTTGCTTCATTTATAAATGCTCCTTCAATTATTCTTATTTGAATAGCATTTTAGTTAAAACAATGTTTATAGTTTGCTCCTGGGCTAGCTTAATAGTTGTTTCCATTTTTATCGGAAAAGAAAGTACTATAGGTAACGGAAAGTGCTTTGAAAACTGCTGAAATGGTTCAAAAGAAGTATGCGGAATATCAAAATTTTTATGCGAAAGAAGTGGAAAGGTTAAATATGAAAATGAAAGAACTTGTGAATGAGAATCTCGCCAAACAGCACGAATCAGAAAAAACTATCAAAAATGTATGTTGGATCATTGCATTGTAAAATATGCAGATTTAGCACAATCTACATTAAAATTTTCATAATTATTGTTAACAATGGTAAACAATGAAAATAAAAGAGAAGATTTCAGCTGCGTGAACAGATCAAAGTATTGGAAATAAGTCAACGAAATTTAATGGAAGCTCGCGATATGCAATTAGGTGCAAAAGAGTTCTTAGAAAGTGAACTTGAAAGGTTACAAGAAATGCTAAATCTAAACGAAGTTCATCGGCTGACGCGGAAGTACAAATTCTCATTAATTATTGATCGGGTAATACTTTAGTTACTTTAGTATTACCTATGCTATTTCTATCATTTAAAATTTTTTATTCAACTTCTCCATGTCCTTAGTGTGTTTTTTACATATGAACAAGAGCATTTTGAAGCGACAACCATTTTTGAATGACGATTCATATCTAAGTTTACTTACGTGAAATTATTTGAAATTATCGCAAATAATCTTTAATACTCCTTCAAAGATATGAACGTTCGCACTGTCAATCATCGTCTTGTAATAACGAGAGTGTTATACTGAATCGGTAAATAATATTTAGTTGCAAATACTAATTGATTCGCTAAATAAATCATCAAATATTGGGAAAGATTCACTGGATAATTTGAAAGCTTTTATCTCTCAACTGAAACAAATGAAAGAGGAAGAATACAAGTCATTTCCGATCAGGTTCTTTTTTGTTTACATTCAGTACTGTGTCGATGATGTACCACTTGTATGCTACAAACGGATATCATCATCGGATGCATCATTATTTCCATGGGAAGAGAAAAATGAAATATAGACACAGCTTTTTAATGATGAATTGAAATACTTGAAAGCTTTGACATCTCATTAACGCGTAAACTATAGGACATTTACATCTCGTTTCTCATTGGGCTATTTGGGTATTCTTTTATGTGAAAGTCAAGTCTTTCCAGCCTTTGAAACATGTATCTAATTTCTAGCAATGGAAAAAAACAAAGCAAAACTGATGAAAATCCTAGACCGGCTGAAAGTGAATCCAGTTCTGTATCGCAAGCAACATCTGATGCAACTTTACAATCTACTACTCCGACTCAATTCTATTCCTACAGTACCCTTCCGACATCATCATACAAGTATTGCATTCTATTTACACAACTTCTGTATGCACAGCGTTATCAAGTCTGTGAAAGGACAGTACCTTTATGGACGAACTTTTTATATTTCCTTGTTTAATTTCTTAACAAATATATTTGGTTATCTAAGCAGTGTGCAGCTGTTCTTAACTTTAGAAAACATAAAGTTGTTTGAAAACGAATGCAAGAAAGAATGACACCAGTTGGTTTGAATACTCCCATCTTCATAACCTTTATATCACTAAATTTCACTAGTTGCAGTTAAATTTACCAGTTTGCTCAATTTTCAAGGTTAACACGAATTTTAGGTTAACAGCAACAGTGAAGCAACTGAGCGAAAGTAATTCCGCCGTTGAAATTCGACAACTGGAAGCAATCACTAATGGAACACAATCGCCAATTAAGAAAATTTCACCATTTCCGGACCCACCACCTACTTTTATACTTAGTAATTCTATTCCAAAGTGTTCTTCACAAGAAAATCTATTTTATGAGCACTTGCAATCATTTCTTTCAGAAATTTCTGATTCTGATTTTCGAATTTAATGCAAAACGGACAGTGCTGTTTCAGACAAGGAGATGGTGGTAGAATACGATAAAGATGGCCGTCTTCATTATATCCCTAAAAGTATTTCACGTTCCGCTTCACGTGATCGATGTGATGACAACGATTTTGCATCGTATGGACAGGATGACGGTGATGATTCATCAACCGGACATCTACATTTGAGAACAAATAGTACCGGTAATATGAAACTTACATCCTACTGGACATAAGTAAACCAACTTTTATAAAATGCTGATTTTGTATATTCTAAAATTCTTCTACAATTTATAGTAGAAGATTATTAAAAATTTTTTGAAATTCAAAAAAAACTTATTAGAAAATTCTCCTTAAGGATTGAGAACAAGATGAATGCAACGAACCCGACACATATCAGAAGGTCTTATCCGAACATTTCAGTGTAATTTATTAATTGCAGGAACGAATATTTTGTATGACATTCGTCGAATTGAACTAGCTCGTGGTACCCAGCCATCAGTACGTCTGATGGCAAAGGCATTTGACACAATGGAAGCAAACGCATCAAAAACTCTTCCAAACTCCAAGCGATCTTTGTTTGGTATACGCAAATCGCGTTCCGTTGAAACTAGTGAAGTAGGAAAAGGCATTGGAAGTGCTACAAAAAGTGTATGTACTTTTTTAAATCAAAATTAAGGTTTAAATTAGGCGTATTTGTTTATAATCTATTTGATTTTAGGTGTTAACATCTTTAGCACCATCACCAGTAGCAGTAACTGTACTCGGCCGAAATACATCACTCATTCATATCGAGGAATTAATGGGTAGTCAATCACCGTTCGGAAACGTATCCCGCGGAAGTCGAAATCCATTTAAACTTATGAGTAAGATAACTTGTTCTTTCAAACATACCCAGAAAATACTATGTATTGGCTTAAGTTACATTATTTGAATCACAAATAAGCTTAATAACTAACCACCAGGTTATAAGCAAGAGATCCATTAATAATTACTCTACATCAAGCTTCGTAATCACCTTCAAACGCTTGAGATGTGTAGTCAAATAGTAATCAATTTGTTGAATTTAAGAATTCTTGCATGTAAAGATATATTTTATACCCCTTAGCTCCCAGATAGATCATTTTATCTATAATATATTGGTGTTATGAATATTTTCCCAAAAGTTATTAGCATAGTTGAATTTATAGTTAAAATAACAAGAGATCACAATACAGTTTCTTGCTTCCACTTCCAGAAACAAAATTGGTTGAACGTGTACGACGAAGTTTGAGTAGATCAAATTCCAAAAGACACAGGGATAATTCGACAGGAAGTGGTCAAAGCATTAAACGTGGAGATGAAAGCAGTACGATAGCTGATCAGGAAATTGAAGTGCTTGAAAAATTCGGAGAAACAAAGGTAGAGTCTATGTTTTCTACAGATTTTTTTTCATACCAACAATCAAAGCATATTTTCATATATTATAGGAACTTGAGATTTTAATGAAGGACTCTGTAAGAAAACAAGTCCATATTCGTATAATACATAACTGCAACGGCTTACTTTTATTAGTCTCATATGGTCATTCATTGTTACATATCTCCTGGTGTTCGAAGTATTGGATGCGGAAGACGGAAAACATGATTTTTCGGATGGGATTCATGACCCTAATCACTTTATTCAGTTTTCCCACCTGTCACGTTATCATTTTTTTGATTATGATAAATTTGCATAGTGAGATCAAACAATTTACGGAACGTTTACAATAACCAGAAATACATCAAAGTAGTTCATTAACTCCCCGCAAAATTGATTTAGGAAGTGACAACTATTTGCATGTCGGTTTATTCGGATTTAAGTTTGGTTAAATTTGATAACAGGAAGCTTTTATTAAGAATTGCTGAATTTATCATAGAATTTAAAAATTCCTACTGTAGATGAATTTGCCATTTAAATTGCGAAAACTGCAGGATTCTCACACATCATCATCACTTACTAAGAAAAGTACAAGCAAACCTCGGATCAAAAAGAAGGTAAAGAAAACAGCAACAACCAGTTAGCTAAAATAGCATGTGATCGATATCGATAGATGAAACGTCGGTATACATTTTAAGTTTTAGAAATGAAAAATCAGTTCTGAATATTTCTTCTTTCAAGTCCTGAAATCTTTATGCTTTGTACTAGTCTATAGAATATTACCCCTTGTTTTATCATTAGATGTTTAATTTTGCCCTAATGATCACAATTCGTTCTTCGCAACACTTCTTTCTTATTTTTTCTTTTTTTAAACTCCTATGTATTTTTTTCCACTGTAACGATGTTATATATTTTTGTATAGATAGGATTTTTAAGTCTAGCTTTCCTGATAACTGCACTACAGTATTCCTGAATCATAATATGTTGTTACCACCTCATTAGATCTAGCAATGTTGTATTCAGGTATTTTGTCAATTCCACCTAATATTTCGACTGTTATTACTCTTTTTTGGTATCAAAAGACACAGCTTTTGTTTTTGAAAATTTAACATAGAAATTCTGAACGCTATATGCGGTAGTGATGATAATAATGAGATATCAATTTGCGTGACAATTTATCAAAGGAAAGAAAAATTTTTTCTTTTACCAGTAGAATGTTGAGGATGATTGCCTACTGATATTTATACTTTTCTAAAAATTAAAAGAAATCTTCAAAGTGATATTGCTAAGATTTCAACTTCCTACATTTAAATGCCAAGTGGCGATTTTTACTGAGTCTTTTTTTGCAAAGTTTTTTCAGGCTGGAATCATTGTTATTTGTTCGGTCTGCCACATAGTTTTACTTTACCTAATTAATTTTCCTTCTATTGTTGATTTTCATTCACTGATCAATATTTCCTTTCTCAACACTGTACTGGTTGTTCACAATGATATAGCAATCGTCCAGTTTCTAACTCATTTTCAAGCTCACGTTATTGGATCAAATCTTACCTTCGAATTTTTATTGAAATTTTTTTCTAGGCAAAAGTTTTTAGTATATCAAGTAGTTTGAACTTAATTTTTAGAACTACACGGTTTGCAGATATGATGAATCTACTTATCTTTTGTTCTTCAGTTAATAATGTTGCCTGATGGTATTCGTAAGCTGCCTTATCGTTCTCTTTATTATTTCAACATTCATAATTTCCCCTATCCTTCCTAACTTCCAAAATGTGCTAATTTATGAAATCTCATCTTTCCAGCATGCATAATAAGATAAAGAATGAATTTAAGAATAAATTATATTCAAACTTGTTTATTAAATTCAGAAAAAATTTTAACTACAATTTGTCTTCTGCAATTGTGAGGTTCTCTTACGAAAAAAGACGCGAATGTGACGGAAAAAAGAAATACTCGTAATGATAATGATATCAGTATGAATGCCAAAAGGAAGCACTGATTAGAAACTAAAATCCTGGAACTTCATAATTAAAGCGCCCTAATATTTCTCTTGTCATTATTGGAATGTTTGACAGGGAAATAGATATTTATATGTGTGATTAGACTAATTCATTAGGTTACATGTGTAAGTACAAGTGGAACTGTTCCATTTCTTTCGTAAATATTTTATGAACGCCACGAATAGGAAATTGAATTAGTTAATCTTTATATTAATTCAGTTTCGTATTGTGCAGTGATAAGTACCACATACACAGAGTAAATAAGGGCTGAATAGTGTTATTCTTCGACTTACCGTAAAATTGCTGCTTATATTTCACTCATTACATGTACTTCCAATAATCTCGAAAACTATACGGCTTATTTGAACGTCCAATCCCTCACTTCAATTCAGTCGTGAAATGAGAAGTACAATCGATATTGTAAATGAGGAAATGCGGTATTAAAATTGGTAAGGTTCCAGTTACTTAACCTGATATCACCTTTTGAAGTCGTCGCACAGACAGAAGTAATGTTAAATATTCTATACGGAATCCAAATCACTGGCATTAAATTATTGTAAGCATCAAAGAAGTGAATTTTGGGAAAATTTATGAAAAGTTTTGGTGCCTTCCTTTCTAAAATGATCATATTGAAGGCACACTTATGAAATGCAGCCAATTTGAACGAACAAGACAACATTAACTGCTGGAATTTAAAAAGTTGGAATTTACCAAACAATTAGTTGAAATGAGGAACTTGAGAAACTGAAGAATGGAAGAAATCGGCCGACAAATTGCTATTAATTTCAAACTTGCATTACCAAAAACGTTTCATTCCGTAGAAATCATTATTAATCCAGTTTACCATATTTTAGAAATGATTGCGTGGCTCGATGAAAGTTAGTAGTGAAAATAATGTTAGATATAAATATGAATTAAATTTCAAAATAAGTTAAGTTAGTTGAAATGGTGATAATGATCATTCACTCCGTGATATCTTCTTTAATTGAACGTTATTTTAAATGTTACAGCAATCAAAAGATGTATTTGAAATGCTTCTGTAAGATGATCTCACAAAATTAGAAATTCTGAGTAAATCCATTCTATTTTTATGGAATTTATTCTTGGTCCCTGTAAATATTTTTCCCGCTTTGCTGTCTGATCTCGCATATTATCTGATTTATTGGAGTGCCAACATGGAAATGGTTATGATTGTTTATGTTATCTGTGAAAATATTTTGAAAGATGAGGAATATTTTGTCGTAAATACTTTAAAAAGTGAAAAAAAGGTAGTAGTATTAGTATAAAGCAAGAAACAAAAGGTTATGGCACAAAAAAAAAAGGAAATACACTAAAAGGACTAACATCTTATTTTCTCTTCTCTTCCAGTTTAGTGTGATCTTTGTCATTGAGTGATATTTGCTATGATTATCCAAACTTCAAAAACTTTCAAGAAAAAAGCCCAAGTTTACTGTCATAGAGATATAATGTTGACAAATCAAAGGTTACTTCTCCCAAATCCAAAAGTACTTCTCAACTCTGGGTAAATGTTTGACCTTGTTCTGTGAGACCGATTTTTTCGTAGTCATCCGGTGATTTAATATCACTGTTATCCAGCGAGACGTTGTCTTGTCAAGTTTTTCCGATAGGAGGGTTTTGGTGTGGGGAGAGTGAGGATTCCCGCGGTGGAATATATTTAGGGTTGTTGGTAGGTTCCTGTGCTGGAGGTGGTTGGTTCTGAATCGCTACCAAAAACCCGCCAATGTCTTATTTCTCCTAGATCTCTGAGTGATAGCGTTGTTGACGTTAAAGAATATAAGGCGGTGTGTGTTGTGGAAGTTTTGGAATATTGGTTAACGATAATTTATTGATAGACAGGAAAGTATTATATGTTACATGAAAGCTTCCATAGGATATTAAATACAAAGTTAATAACGAAGTAGGTTGAATTGATTGACTAAGTCGGAGCGTACAGTCCCTTGAGCGATTTGGGTATTAGGCGAGGAACTGAAAAATGGAATTGTAGGATAACCTTTTGTGTAATGACCTCGTAAAATGACTTGTGTGAGATAACTTTTTATAAAATGGCTTATGTGGAATAACCTTTTCTAGAATGATTTTCTGTGTTTATCCGTTCCCTTATATAGTGGGAGTTTGCTTACAACAATCCAAGAGGTTGGAATTGATTGACCTCAGGTCGACCTGAAGTTTTCGCAGTCTCCCGACATTAGCCTAAGATTTTTCGCAATATGCCGACATCATACATGAATTTCGTAACCAACATGGGTTAATTTACAACATCTTACAACATGACTTAAACTACACAACTTTAGAATATCAATATTGTTTTTAACTAAAAATATCTCAGTTTTTACTAACAGCGTACATTCAGAGTATGGATTTTTACTCCATGGTATATGGTGAGGTACAAGTCTAGGTAATAACATTTTTGGACACTTTTATATAGTATATATTTCGTTTTCAGGCCAATTACTTTGATATACAATCAGTTAAAGAATCGATAGCAGTATGGCAAAGTCGAAGAATCATACAAGTCATAATCAAAGTATGTCTTCATTTTATTCACTTAGATCTAGGTTTTGTTTTGTCGTGTTTGAGATTTTGTTTGCCGTGTTTACACCACGAAAGTATCGGTCGACTTTGTCTATGGTAGTGCATCGGCTGAGACTATCATGGTCCGGAAAAGTAT